TGAATGATTGTAGTAGAATTTAATGGACAGATCTAAAATCATTTTGTCTTGTAATAAAAATTTGTAAAACACATCAGGGCTCACATCACTAGAGGGCCTCCTATGAGCTCAGGCTGTGTGTGTTTCTTTTGCTATTAGAAGTTTTCTTCATTTATAGCATTTTTTTATGGCTTCAGTTTGATACCACATCCAGGAATAATGTTCAGTGCAATTTCATCCCCATTTCACACATGTGATTACCTAGAAATGGAGATACTTTTGGAAGCAGAAAGAGTCACACAGGCCCAATAATCAGCATGGTTCCCTTCACACCTCTTCCTTAAATAACATCTCTTTCTATCCCACTCAGACATGAATTAAAAGGAAATTCTTCAATTCACCTACAGTGGTTGTTCCTCAGGGACATGTTTGACCTAGCAGGAGCCAGATCAGTACATTTATCAATACATCAGATAATTTATCTGTAAATATTTCCTGAGCCATTGTTTCTGCCCCTATAAACACCTCAACTATCTCTACATGATGCCTTTCTTGCATTAGAATCCTCAGAGAAGCACAAATGGACTTGTGTCCTGCCAGATCCTCTCACATTTGAAATCATAGGCAGTGTGAGTCCAACCCCACTCCCCTAAAAGAAAAATTAGCATTTTCTTCACCGACAGAGGAAGGGCTGAGGATTCCTAGGCCTGATGCTAAGCAGCTTCAGCAGATCCCTCCTTGTGCCCAGTGCCTCCATTAGATGAACATCACTGGCACCAGGCAAATCTTTGAACTGGACTGCTGCCTCTTACATTTATTTTGGCCTTACTTCCATTTTCCCTCTCACCATGACTGTAATTCATTTATACTGGAAGAAAAGAGAGGATCTGGGAGCTTTGGCGTGTAGGTGTGAGATCTCAACTCTTTTTCAGGTCCTGTTTACGCAGAAATGATCAACAACCTGCTCCAGCCTTTGATTGGGGCCAAGGACTGCACTTTGATCAGACACAACGTGTTCCATTCTCTGCCTAACACCGCCAACACGTTGATAGGCCGGGCTGCCCACATTGCCGTGCTGGACTCTGAACTTTTCCTGGAGAAGTTTTTCCTCGTGGCAGGACTCAACTACTTCAAATAGTGCCTGAAGTATGGGGTAACAGAGGCCAACCTTTCCATTGAGTGGAGGAGACTCCCTTAGCCAAAGGAGTGCAGTGTTAGAAATGAGATCAGGTGGGACTTTCAAAGTTTCCATTTCCATTTCTCTTTCAGAGAACAAAGTGCTATGGCTTTAAGGCATTCAAGCTTCCAAGTATTGGTGCTTTTGGAAGAAATAAATATTCCTCTTCAGTTTCTATGTTTATTGTCCACATAAAGACATGAGCCACTTGTGAAGTACAGAATCAGAATAAGGAGGTTAATTCTCTAAATGTGATTGGACCAATACAATTCCCATTTATCCTGAATATTAAACCAGGAACTTGTCTGTCTTTGATTTACTGCTTATTTATGTATTAACAAACCTCTACATTTGTAGCTCTTCTGGGGTAGTTAACACACAAGGAAACAAGTGTATGTGAACTCAGGTTAAAACCTTCTTTGTGATGAACTGAGAAGTCTGAAAACCATACATGAAAGATTCAGTATTTCTGTTTGTTGGAAGAAAATATTTGGATGGTTCCATACTGGTAATAATTTGTAACATACAAATTGTACATTCAAATAATGGAAAGGAGTAACATATTTTACATAGAATGAACAAATATTGATACTTGTCTTTAAAAAGAAACCCCAGCTTTAGTTTGGGAAGAATTTCATTCAAGTTAGAAGCTGCCAAACAAAGAGGACTACATTGGATTACTTGTGAAATATCAGTGGCATCTGTTAATATTTCTTCTGTTTACATTTATAGAGGATCATAACTGACTGTCTTTGTTATAACCTTAAAGGAACAATTTTTACGTTTACATTTGTATCTAAGTCCATTTGTCCCAATTTTTTTTTAAAAAAATTATTACACTGATACAGAATTCAAAATCTAGCCAGTTATACCCTTGAAAACCCCAGACATTTGAAAAAAACCAAGAAAACCAGAATGAAGATATATAATGGTAAGGATTGTGGAAAGTTTTAAAAAATATAAAGATGTCTTAAGATCCTCTGCAATACTCTCTAAATGCTAAATGTCTAAAGTGACAAATTTCAATAACTTTATGCACATTTTCATAACATTTTGGAAACTTTTCAATTCACAGGAGTGTTTTAGATAAAAGAAAGTGAATAATTCT